ACGAAATTAGGTTACTCAACTGTACAAATATAGGCTAGAGCTATATAACACATTAAAATGAGAACATAACGTTACTTCTATGAGGACATTTTGGACCAATTATGTCCTTGTCTAAGGTTTCTCCGTGAGGCTGAATAATAGTTTGCAGCCCAATTATGTTAATTTGCGACTAATTTTAAATCTAACGCAAACATCGAAATATAACACACCTGAAAGTAAAATAAATATAATTACATACAACTATCAGAATAATTAAAATAACATTACAACTATGCTAATACTTAAAAATACAAATTATCTACTTAATACCACTTTAATCGTACTTGCTTAATATAAATAATGAAATATTAAATATGCAGTAACAATATACAAAATACATACCCAGAAGTTGGGGGTTTGAAGTAACTACACGACTGGCAGGTAAGACGAAATATCTTAAACCTAAAAGAACCAATAACCTTATTAAAAACTATATTTATACTCTATTTGTGAATTAATTAAAATACTTCTATTATAATAACAATTACCACAACTGAACTGCAATACATGTATACTGGAACTATATATATGCAATAACTTTAAGACTTTAAGACCTTCGACTTTAACCTTCGAGGTCGGACCCAAAAAGTGTCAATGTGCTCAATAGAATCAGAGGAACATGTTTTTGAATTCGGAGTTCCTCAGGGTTCGGTCTTAGGACCGTTTCTGTTTGCTTTGTACATGACACCTGTCGAGGATATAATCACTCGTCATGGACTCAGTGCTGTCATTTATGCGGATGACTCACAACTGTATATTGCCTGTGATTCTCGGACAGACACTACCACAATCAGTCGTATAGAGAGCTATATAGACGAAATTAGACTCTGGATGCGAGCTAACCTATTAGCTTTAAATGACAGTAAAACCGAAATAATTCGGTTCTCACCGCGAACCAGGGACATAAGTCTAAAGATATCAGTAGGTGATGTACGTGCTGGTGAGGAAAATGTTTCTCCGTCGGTGGCTGTGCGTAACCTAGGGGTGATGCTGGGTTTTCGTTTTAAACTTTTAGGCATAATTTTTAAAGTTATTCATAACAGTAAGACTGAGCCTTCCTACCTCACTGACATTATCTCTATCCATATGCCAGCATATTGTACTAGGAATAGTACTGAAATAAGATTAAAACCTTTCTCTTATAAGAACCATGGGAAGAAAACATCCAACCAGTACGGCGATCGTGCCATAAGTGTAGCTGCGCCAAAATTATGGAATAGTCTGCCATTAGCCTTGAGATCTGTTTCAGATTTTCAGATTTTCATAATTTTAAGTCAAACCTAAAAACTTTTATTTTTAAAGATTATTATGGTCAATGTTAGCACCTTTTTTACATACATACTGTATATTATACATCCGTTATATATATTTCTAATATCTATTCTATATTTTTTATATATTTTTTTACTTAATTGCATGTGATATTTCCAAGTTTTAAGGTTCATTTTTATGTGTACTTTTTATATTCTATTTGTATTGTTTTTATATCTGTTATTTGTTATTTGTTCTGTACAGACTGTTGAGACTTATGTGTAATGGTCTTAAAACAATAAATATTATTATTATTATTATTATTATTAAAAATGGCTGCCATACACTTTGCTTACATAAACCGTTACCTAATGTATTTTACTCTGTTTGAGTTGAACGAATTAAGAGTGAAATATTTTCTTTGTCATGTGAACAAAATTAACAGTGAGTAAAGTGGTCAGACGTAATCATGTTCAGTATAAAGGGTTGAATTATGTTGATGAATTCATTCGCGCTAAGACAAGCATACACTGTACGTTGTACCTTTATTTGTTAACTATCTTGTAATTATGTCTTCCATCGAAGAAAAGTTGGATAAAATACTGGATAAAGTAGAGACCAATAATGCTATCATTTTGTCCCAAGTTCATGCCGAATTGAAGGTTTTGAAGGAGGATATAGCGAAGAAATCAGACGAAGCTAAAAAAAGCTCAAGAATTAATTTGGAAACGTTCTGGTAATAAAATTCAATTTAACTTTAATTCTGAATTTTTGGTGAATTTTTCTGAGAGTATGGCTAGTGTAGAAGAAGGTGATATTGAGAAAGTTACGAACATTTTTCAAGCCAGTGTGATTAAAATTCAATAAAAAGAAACAAGTTAATTAAATTAGCCGATTCTTCTGAAGGAGGTTGGGAGACCGTTAGGCAGTATACAGTTAACGAGCTAGCAGACGATTCAGAAGACGATAAGAGGATTAGTAGAGCAGAAAACAGAGCCGTAAAGAAAATTAAAGAGAAAGTTAAACATCGTTTTGGGCCTTATAAGAATGCTAACAAGAATGTCGCTTCATCTAATATGTTTGGTGTTAGGCGTCAACCATTTCAGCCGTTGCAGTCCTTTCGTGCCAAAAGCAATACTGGAGCCTGCTTTCACTGTGGCGACTTCAACCACTGGAGGAGAGACTGTCCAGCAATCAATATTCCACAAGCACCAAAAGGAAAACCCCAGACAGTTACGTCACAACAATTCAGTGGATGAAAAGATTGAAGATATTAAAGATAAGTGTGATAATTTAACTTTTGATTATTTTGAATATGAGCAAGGCTTGGCGGATATTAGGGTTAAAGGTAGACTGAAAGTTAATGTAAAATTTTGGCGTCAAATTCAAGCCAGTAATTTTGTTATCGATTTTGTCCAGAATGGTTATAAAATTCCATTTTATACTACTCCTCCTCCCATGCAGATTCAGAATAATAAGTCGGCTGTCAAGCATAGTGATTTTGTGACAGAAGCTGTTCAGAAGTTAGTTGCAAGAAATTTAGTTGTAAAATGTTCATTAAAACCTCGTGTTGTAAATCCGTTATCTGTGGCGATTCAAAGTTCTGGAAAGAAACGTTTAATTTTGGATCTTAGTTTGGTAAATAAGCGTATTTGGCGGATGAGTGTTAAATATGAAGATTGGAGAATATTTTTAATGTATGTTAAGAAAAATGATTGGATGTTCAAGTTCGATATCCACTCAGCGTATCATCATATTGATATATATCAGCACTCTGAATTTCTTGGTTTTTGTTGGGAAAATGAATTTTACAAATTTGTGGTACTTCCGTTTGGTTTAAGTGTGGCACCGTATGTTTTCACAAAAGTTACAAGACAACTTGTGCGTCATTGGCGTTCTAAAGGGCTTTTTATAGTTTTATTTATTGACGACGGTATTAATAGTTCTTCAGATTTTGTGTCTGCTTGCACGACATCTGAGATCATCAAATCTGATTTGTTAGCGTCGGGATTTGTACCTAAAGCAGAAAAATCCTTGTGGAATCCAGTACAAGTTTAAGATTGGTTGGGATTTATTATAGATACCAAGAGCTTTGTTTTAAGCATTCCCAATGAAAAGATAATGCGTTTAGTGGAACTTGTCAAAGTGATAAGAGATAGACAAAATTCAGTTCCAGTTAAAATGGTAGCATCAATGGTTGGTAAAATAATATCCATGAATTTAGTGATAGGTTCGGTAGCCCAATTAATGACTAGGAGTTTATCCATTGACATTGTTAATAGTACATCGTGGAACCATTATATTAATTTGTCTGTTTCAAGTCGAGAACAAATTAACTTTTGGGAAAGTAATATTCAAAAGTTGAATTCTAGGAGTTTACGTGACGATTCTTCGTCGTCTAGAATAGTGTTTTCTGATGCCAGTGATTTTGGTTATGGTGGTTACTGTATTGATATTGATGGTGCGATTTCACATGGTCAGTGGGATAGTGAAGAATCTGTAAAAAGTTCAACGTGGCGTGAATTAAAGGCCGTGGATCTGGTGCTTAAAAGTTTTGTGAAAGATCTTACTAATTATGGAGTGAAATGGTTTACTGATAATCAAAATACACAGAGAATAGTAAATAAGGGCAGTATGAAACGTGAATTACAGGATATTGCCTTTTCTATTTTTGAAACGTGTTTGAAAAATAGCATTCGTATAGATATTGATTGGATTCCTCGAAATGAAAATGAATATGCAGATTATATAAGTCACTTAAAAGATTATGATGATTGGGGGATTTGTCAAGTAGTTTTTAATCATTTGAATAATGTGTGGGGACCGTATACGGTGGATAGGTTTGCTTCATCTTACAATACTAAATGTAATAGATTTAATAGTAGGTTTTGGAATCCAGATTGTGAATATGTGGATGCATTCACTATTGAGTGGAGTTCTGAAAAGAATTGAAGAAATATGTAAATGGTTTTTATAGATGGAAGAATTGGGTTAATATTGTCGGACTTGATCCGTCTTTAGCAGTTAAACCTTTTATCTTTTCACTTTATTTGATGATGTTATGCCAATCTGCACAATCTGTTGCTCCTATCTATATTGCTTTTTATAGCATTAAGTATATACATGATTTAGCAAGCTTGCCTAGTCCAACAGATGATAAGTTAGTGATCAACATTTTGGAATCCGCTAAGAGGAAATTGGGTAAACCTGTTCAAAAGAAATCTCCTGTCACAGTTGAATTATTAGATATGATATATGAAAAGTTGACAGAATGTCCTAATTTGTATAATCTTAGAACAATATGTTGTCTGTTATTGGCATTTGCAGGTTTTCTAAGATCAGCAGAATTATTGAATATTAGTAGAACTGACATTGTATTTCACGAATCTTATATGTTATTATTTATTGAAAAATCTAAAAGTGATATGTATAGGGATGGTGCGTGCTAAAACTGGTGGAAAATTATGTCCAGTGGTGAGCTTAATTAAGTATTTAAATGCTAGTGGAATAGAGCAAAATTCTTGTGAATATATTTTTCGTGGTTTGAATAAATGTCGAGATGGAATTAGATTAGACGTTGTAGAGAGCGGACGTGTCTTAGTGAGCTCCGGAACTCAATCAACCGTGATATAAATCTTTTAGTTTAAGTTGAGCTTCTTTTAACTTTATAACTTTTAAAGTGTCTGGATTTTGATATTGTGTACAGCATAATGGATAACGAACCACTGTGTGCCGAAATCGCCGATGAATATGTCAGAGAAGTAATGGCTAACTCACACACCGCCGAAAGTGATCAGAATACGGATAGCAAAAGATTTTACTCCGATGATAGTGATGTTGAGGACACGTCTGGAGCATTCAGGGGGCGAAAGAAAAGTAAGAGCTGTTTTGAAAGGGACGGAGAATCATCTGAAGGATTCAACGCACAATTTATGAAGTTTGCTAATAGTATGCAGGATTCCTTTAAGAAATTAAACATGAGGATAGATGATTTAGAAGATAATCTGGAAAAGAAAATAGTAGGTAGAATTTCACAATCTATTAATGCTAAAATCGAGGAAAGAAGTGACAATTATGAAGGCAGAAATTTCTGAAAACATTAAAACAATAGAACATAAAATTGAGAATTTGAAAATGACCAGGGAATCAGTCGACCAGAACGTAGAGAGCAGTCGAACAAAGAATATAGTGATTAAAAATCTCCTGCCCTGCCAGGCTGAGGTGAACGATTCGAACTTACTAGTGAACACCGTTGACCGCCTTGTATCTGAAGTATTGGGACTGAAAAATATCAAAATTACTCACGCGTCAAGAATACAAACACGTGAGAACAACAACAGGATTAACCCTATCGTAGAACATGATTTACCTCAAGATCAAAGAAATAGTAACTATAATTTGATGAACGTTCTGAAAATAGTTGGTGGTGATAGGGAGTACAGGGTTGTTGGGGGACGAATTACTCGACATGTCACTAGTATGTATACTAGAAGGTAGGACAACATCAGGCTTGGTACTTGGAATGTGAATGGGTGGTCACGTTTTAACTCTTCTGATAATTTTTAATTCGTGAGACAGTGCTTAAGTTTCTTAAAGTGGATATATTATGTGTATGTGAAACATTTTTAAAAGGAAACGATAAATTAAATATTCCCGGTTTTGATTGGTTTGGTCGAAACAGGACAGATGTGCATAGAAACGCGAAGAGAGGTTCAGGAGGGGTTGGAATATTGGTGAATTCTGAGATACTTGGACTATGATGCTACTGTATTGGATGATTCTAAAGAAGACATTTTTTGGTTAAAACTATCGCATAAGACTCTTCGTAATAGTGACCTGTGTATTTGTGCCTGTTACATTCCGCCTTCCGACTCTACTCGAGCAGGGGACGTAGACACTTTTTTTAATGATCTATTGCAACAATTGTTTTCAAAATGAAGGAATACTATATATGGTGGGTGATTTTAATGCACGATGTGGTGACGAACAGGATTTTATTGCTGGGGTGGATGATATACCAGGCAGAGACATAATTGATACTACAAGTAACCTTTATGGAGATAAACTTATTGACTTTTTGACAAGCTGTAATTTATGTATGCTAAATGGGAGAGTATATGGTGAGCATGGTTCCAATAATTTTACGTGTGTGTCTAAACGAGGAAAATCTGTGGTTGATTATACTATTACAACTCATGAACAATTATCAAACTGTAAATCGTGCAGTGTTTATCTTATGTCTGATTTAATAAACCTATGTGGAATTCAGTTTGAAAAGTCGGTTCCTGACCATGGACCTATAATCTGGACAATTGATGTACAAAACGCCACCTCGAATGCAGATCATTTTCCAGTGCTGAATAAAACTATACGATATGACACTGGTAAAATACCAAGAGACTTTCTTACAAATATTAGCGGTGTAGAAGAAAAAATTATTGGACTAGAAAAAGAGCTTTCTGACAATCGAAATATATGTGAAGCTTATTCCAGTTTTGTAGATATTATCGAAACTGAACTGAAGCAACAAGTGCCACAACTAAAGACATCATCGTGTTCATTAAGAAAGCTTACACAAACTAAAGTTAAGATACATTTTTGATAAAACAAACCGTAGGTTTAAGAGACTGCATCAATCACATGAACAGGATCGATTACTGAACCTTTACGAATCAGCCAATAAACAAGATTTTTGGAAACAATTTGGAAAAATTGGAATCGCTAATGACCGGAAAAGTTCAATACCAATGAAAGTAGAAACGGACAGTGGATTCTCGAGAGACCCGGGAGATGTCTTACAGCGTTGGAAACATGACTTTCATAATTTATTGAACAAGCCTTTAAGTAGTGAATTCGATGACATACATTTAGATTTTATCAAAACCGGAAGTCACACATTCCCGAGTGTAAACTGTGATTCACTAAACCGCGATATAACTGAAGAGGAAGTGCGCAAGTCAGTGTACAAGACTAAGTTAGGGAAAGCAGCCGGAATTGACTCTATCATTAGTGAGTGTATACGTAACGATACTTGTGTAAAACTGCTATATAAGATCATAAACTTATGTTTCCAAACCGGAGAAGTTCCTAAAATGTGGTTAAAAGGTATTATCACACCTATCCCCAAGACTGACGGTGGTAACAAATGGGACCCCTTTCGTATAGAGGAATTACCCTTTTATCAGTCCCGTGTAAAGTGTATGCAACTATACTTAAACTCAAGACTGTCAGAATAGCTGGAAGATAAGGGAACTTTAGCACAAGAACAAAATGGATTTCGTAAAGGCAAAAACTGTATTGACCATCTTTATATATTGAACAATATTATTAGAAACAGGAAGTCATCCAAACAGCAAACTTTTGCCTGTTTTGTGGACGTAAAAAAAGCCTTTGACACTTTAAACAGGGACTGTTTGATGTTTAAACTGAACTCTATAGGTGTGAGTGGTAGATTTTTGCATAGTATTTCGTCTTTATACAATAACGTTTCATGCTCTGTTAAGGTAAATAGTACATTAACGGAGTGGTTCCCAGTTACTCAAGGGGTTAAACAGGGTTGTGTATTGTCACCAACATTATTTTCAATATATGTTAACGATCTAGTTAAAGATTTAAATGAAGCTAACTGTGGAATTGATATTGATGGCACATTAATTTCGGTATTGCTATATGCTGACGATATTGTTCTTCTGGCCCCAGATGAACAAAAACTACAAATTCTATTGAATACCCTAAATAATTGGTGTAATAAATGGAGGTTAGTCGTGAATGAGTCTTAAACAAAAATTGTGCATTTTAGAAACCCTGGTATAGTTAGAAGTAACTTTAAGTTCCATAGTGGTGAATAAAATGTTAAATACGCAGATGCATATAAATACCTAGGCCTGTGGGTGAACGAATTCTGTGACTATTCATACAGCGCTAAAGAGTTATCAAAATCGGCTAATAGGGCTTTGGCTGTGATTAAAACTAAATCGATACAGTTTGGTGGATTTAGCTACGATGTTTACACAAAATTATATGACTCGCTTGTCAGGCCTGTATTTACTTATGCATCTGGTATTTGGGGTATTAATACACATAACCGTATTAATGCGCTGCATAGTAACGCATGCAAATTCTTCCTTGGTTTGAGCAAAAGAAGTAGTAATTTGGCAGCAATGGGGGACATGGGATGGCTGAAGGGTGATAATTTAGTTAAGATTGAATTGTTTAGATATTGGAATAGACTTAAACTCAACGATAATATTCTTTGTAAAACTGTACATAAATGGGCCAGTAGACGAAAGTCTTCCTGGGATCACCGAGTATTAAGTATTGGTCGAGAACTACATGTATTAAATGATCAAAGCGACACTGTATGTATTGATGATGTGTGGGATAGTCTATGGAAGTGGGTCAGTGGTCAAGGGATGTATGGAATGACCGCACACATGTTAATGGAAACAAACTCCGGTCATACCGCATGTACAAAACTGAATTCGGAACAGAACCGTATGTCAAAATTATTAAAAATAGAGCTCACAGACGCGTGTTGTCCAAACTTAGAGCGGGTTCACTCCCTTTGAGAATTGAGTCTGGAAGATTTGTTAGACCCCCCGAACCTCTCTGCTTAAGGAAGTGGCTTTTATGTCATAATGGGGAAATTGAAAATGAGGAGCATTTTATTTTTAACTGTAAATTATACACTGATATAAAAAAAGTTTTATGTACCGAAGCCTGTTTTATTAATCCAGATTTTTTATTTTATAATAATGTAAATAAATTGTGTTTTTTAATGACAAACGAACGAATTTTACCATATTTTGCCTCATGTATTTTTAAAATGTTTGAACGTAGAAAACAGACTGTGATACCCTGAGCCTTTTTATTTATCATAATGTTTATTTTACTTGTATATTTGTGTTTTACCTGTCTCATTGAATGTAGTTTTATGATATAATTCTAAGATGTCGCATAAGTCGAAGCCGGCTGGCGTCCATTTTATAATGCTGTAATTATTTTATTGTTGTTATTCTCTGTATATATGGACGGTGACACTTAAATAAATAAATTATTATTTATTATTATGCTATAAGTTGAAAAATGATAATAAGCCTCTGACGTACTCTACATTAAATGAAATATTTAAGGAAGCCATCACCCCCCATGTTAAGGCAAATGAATTAGGTAATTTTGGCTTACATAGTTTTAGATCTGGAGGAGCCACTTGTGCAGCTAATAATGGAATTATCGACCGCATTTTCAAGAGGCATGGCAGGTGGAAAAGTGAAAATGCCAAGGATGGGTATGTAAGAGATGATATTAGGGAAAGATTGAAGGTATCGTTATCGTTAGGTTTATAATATGTATTATAACTATATTCATAATGCTTTCTTGGTAGTCGCAGTGTTTGTCTGTAGCAAACAGCAACATGTGTTATATTTGTGAGGGGGGAATACAAATGTATTTTACTCTGTTTAGGTTGAACGAATTAAGAGTGAAATATTTTCTTTGTCATGTGAACAAATTAACAGTGAGTAAAGTGGTCAGATGTAATCATGTTCAGTATAAAGGGTTGAATGTATGTTGATGAATTCATTCGCGCTAAGACAAGCATACACTGTACGTTGTACCTTTATTTGTGATAAAAGCAATTCAATTTTTTAAAAGGCTATATACTAGATGCCAAGGGATGCATTTTTTGATGTGTATTTTCACTGTAATTAGGTACTGGGTACCTGCATTTTTTAAAGGCCTTGAGATGCCAAGGAGTGCATTATTTGACTTGTAGTTGCACTATGTGAGGTACTGAGTACCGGATTTATAAAAGGCCAAGAGAGGCCAAGGAGTGCATTTTTTTATGTATATTTGCCTTATTAAGAGGTACTGGGTACCTGCGTTTTGAAAGGCTAAGAAAGGCCACGGAGTGCATTTTTTGATGTATATTTGCACTGTTAAGAGGTACTGGGTGCCTGCGTTCTGAGAGGCTAAGAAAGGCCACGGAGTGCATATTTTGATGTATATTTGCACTGTTAAGAGGTACTGGGTGTCTGCTTTCTAAAAGGCTAAGAAAGGCCACGGAGTGCATTTTTTGATGTGTATTTGCACTGTTAAGAGGTACTGGGTGCCTGCGTTCTAAATGCTTTGAGATGCTTTTTTGAGTGTATTACTTGACATGTAGGTTCATGAGGGGGGGGGAATTCAAAGAAACTTACAGACCCTTACAAAAGCAGTAGACTATTCAGAATATATAAAATAAAACATACCTTTAATAAAGACTGATCTAATTCCTAATTATATCCATAATCAATAAGCAATCCATGAAATATAAATGGCAAAACTGAATCTTTGAAATAGAAATTCCCTCCAAAACCATATGAAATCTAGAAGCACTGAAACAGTCCTTTCACTTTGAAAACTTAAGGCTTAATGAATAACATGATAGGAAGAGTAAGAATGCTCAGAGTGTTGAGATCACTTTGTGAGTAGAGCAAAAGCTCACCAATGGATAAGGTATAGAAGAAAAATAGAATAGGGTGAACAGATTTGAATTGATTGTTAGTATTTGTGACTATGTGTTCAGTGTGTACTTTTGTTAAACATTAAAGCTGTGCTGAAACAAAACTTATAAACAAATATACATTTTAAATGTTACCCCTTTGTTACATCAGCAGAAAATTTCTATGGAACACAAAGTGGACCATATTCTTATGTTGTTTCAGTGACTTTTAGCAATAAATCACGCTACGTATCTTATTTTGTCAGTCACCATTTTTTTTTAAATTGTGGTTCTTTGAAGGAATTGTCACTAGTTATAATGAATTGATATTGAAGATAAATACTAAGAGAAGTTAATTATACCACCCGGTATCCATACAACGTGTTTTTCTCGACTTATTTATAGATCAAACATTGTACACGAAAATAGGTGACGCATTCTGCCGCCGTTGTTGGTTGCTCATGAAATATGGGTCAAAGTGAAAGATTCATAAAGAAAATCGAAATAAACCAATTTTAATTATTCTGTAGAATATCTCAGGAAACATCTCAGACATTAAAAAAAAAATTTGAATCCTTATTCCACAAAAAATAGGTTAAACCACTGTATAGGCTCTGATCGAATTAAATAATATGACTGGAAAATCAGAATTTATCAAGGGAAGGAACTCCTACATGTAAACAGAATTACAAGAATTGCAGTACTTTCAATAAATTGTCATCACATATTACAGAATCTCGAACTTTCTTACTGACGTGGCAGCGTTGTAATAGCGAAACAAAATGATTTTATTTCATTTTCAAGGACTGTAGAAGTACTGTAATGGCGAGTTCTTTCAGCAGTTGATTTGGAAACACCAGAGCAATTTTCTGGCTAAGAGTTGATAATCACTGTGAATCTTGGAATATTTATCTTATTTATAATAAGTTATATAGATCTAAGTCCTATACCTATAGGCTATAGTTATTTCTAAATCAATAGACTATAGATATGTGTTCTGCAGATAAATTGAAATTGATTGATTATGTCAAAGAGGTATGATTCCCAAACAAAAAATTATTCCTGTTTCATTCTTGTGTATGTGAAGAAAAAAGGTTGAAAGATGAAATCTCAAATGCAACAGTAGGCTAAGGGCTATCCTGTCCACATTTAGGCCTACCTGTGAGTGAAATAAGTCATTGTTTAGATTGAAATATGTTCTTATTAAGCTACCTCTGTCTTCTTCATTTAGGTGTTTGAAAGTGAAGTAGAAAGAGATGATAGCTTTTTAGAAAAAGAGGACTTGATGATATTATTAAATGAGACCCATTCTGATGCTAATGTTCGAGAGACTATATTTGGGTATCCAAGCTACCCTCTGTATCATGATATTGGTAATATGTTACAGCAGTGGCTGGAAACCAGGTAATTGTATAACTATAAGCTTAATTAAAGAAAATTCCTGTATTTCTTTCATTACAGTAGTCAGAGCTCTCGAATTGTGCTTACAATCAAGTATAAGCTTCACCTGGTTTCATCAGAGAGGTTAAACCAGTGGGTGTACAGTGGCGCATTTGACCCCCATGGTTTTCACCCCCTTTATTTTTGACAAATTTAAAATATATGATTGTAAGAATGGGCCAGATTCAATTTTTCAACATTTGCAAAGGAAAACTCTCTTAAACACTCCATGAGAGGCTTGTGACTATAACGCCTGCATTTTTAATTCAGCCTCTATTATTTTGATACTTTCATTTTCAGATCTTGTCCAGTTTTAGAATTACCAAAATATGATCTACTGGATGAACAGAGCTACACAGAATTTAGGTAAAGAACATACCATACCGGTACTATTAATTATTAATTCAAATTGATAATATGAATATAACTATCTGAGAGAATCACACCAGCTATAATCTTGCTCACCTGATACCGTTTTAGCTAAATGCTGTGTCTATAAATCTTTTAAATCTTTTTATTGTGTGAATCAGTTAAAAATGGTGTCTGATCTTAAAAGTTCTATCACCTTTATTTTATAGAGCGGTAATGATTATATCAATAACACCATTATTAGATGGTTTAAAATCATTGTGGTCATTGTGGACTAGAGATGAGAGGAAATTCAGAATTAGAGAAATATTGATGGTAAGTCAGTCCTCTCAGTTATATACGATGTCTCAAATTGTACAAGGTGTCTGTGTCCCAAATCAGTCCTCTCAATATAATATACAATCTCTTTGAATGGCATTTAGCAATTGTGAGTACGATATATGGAACAACAATCACTGGTTAAAGTTTTATGCAACGTTTCCCCCATCGTCCTGAGGCACATAATGAGAAGAAGTGATGGGCAAACTATATATACATTAATGCTTATTATTAAGAACACACAAGAGATAAATGGTTTATTGATACATTACATTAAATTTTAACAGGTATAATAAGATGTCATAATTCTTAAAATAACATACAGGCTGATTAAGTAAAATGATTGAAATAAAGTAAATGAATTAAAAAAGATTAATTGAAGATTAAATAAACAACTATTGCTAGTATTGGAGTCTCTTATTAATAGAAATTACATTGTTCATATAACTAACTATGCTTAAAGTTGGAAATTGTTTATTAAATACATTTATGAATAAGAATAATTACAAGTTGATAAGTTTATCATATGCATGCGATAAACGAACACCTTCATCTCTGAAGCTATCCACATCAGAAGATATCAGCCTGACCTCAACAGAGAAGAAGGTGTTCGTTTATCGCATGCATATGATAAAGAAAAAAAAAAAAAAAATAAAAAAAAAAAAAAATAAATAAAAAACACGTCGAAACGTTGCATAAAACTTTAACCAGTGATTGTTGTTCCATAAAGCTGTGTCTATATATAATATACCATGTCTCAAATTGGATAAACTGTCTCAGTCTCAGATCAGTAAACTCAGTAAGTTACACTGTCTCAAATTGGACAGTCTGTCTTGTGTCCCAAATCAGTCCTGTAAGTAATATACATTGTCTTATATTGTACAAACTGCCTATCACAAATCAGTCCTCTCAATTATATGAAGTCTCAAATTTGACAATCTGACTCAGATCTTCCAACTTATATTCACTGTCTCAAATTAGATAAGCTGTCTCAGTCTCAGATCAGTCAACTCAGTTATATGAACAGTCGCAAATTGGACAAACTGTCTCAGTCTCAGATCAGTCAACAGTCAACTTAGTTAGTCAAATTGGGCAAACTGGCTCAGTTCTATGAACAGTTTTTCGTTTCAAATAATTCATGTTTAATTTGTAAACAAAGGCATGCGCTTACTGCCTTTACAACACTGATGTGCTGATAAGTTCTCTGATATTCCACCAGCCTGGGTTTTTTCAGATCATAAAGGAAAAACGTGAAGCACAGTGTCACAATAATTGGCAATATTTTCAGTTTCAATATACTTCGATATGAGTACATACTAAAGGTTTGACTGTATGATTATTAATAAAGGCCTTGTGTTTTATAAACAGTTACTTGGTAAGAGAGGAATCATGGATTTATTGGGTATCAGAAAAACAGTTGGAACTAAAGAAATGTTTCCACCATCAAGACAAGCTTTACTGGAATCATTCCAAGAGAAACATTCGTAAGTGAATAGTTCATTAGTTCATTAGATTCATTCATGATGACATCTATCATAATAATGATGACATGAATACTAAGTTATAACTACTAAGACATTGGAAAATGCCCTTCAATTCCAGCTTTATTTCCCAGACTTTTCAAATATGGCAATGATATGGTTCACACAATGCTGTACAATCTGTAGATAAATCTCAACCAGATGTAGAACAGAGTGTTTTGTTATTGAATACGATGTAAATGGGATGAATTGATTGGTTTAATTTTTAACAAGTGTCTCAATTACACTATTTAAAAAATGCTGTTTTCAATAATTTTAGAGCCAAGTCTCAGTTGGGAGTAGGAGCTAGGGCGTTAGCTAAACATTACCATAGAGATGAAGGCATGTCCTGGTGGGGACAATGTACTGGTAGTGAGTATTTTAGTATTTGAAACCATTCTTTGTACAAACTTCAACGTTGACTCATCATGCACAAGTAACTTCAGAACCTGAATGAAATAAGTTAAGTTTTGTTATTGAGCTGAGTCACCAGTTGACCTGAGTTTAGCATGTGGAACATTTAAAGAGTCACCCCCTCTCTGAAATATTTGTTATAATTTTCTTTCCTTAGCTGAAGCAGCCAAAAATGCTGATGCTTTGCGAATAGTAAATAAAATATTAGATGGTGCAACTTGGATCAATATACATTGGTTACCAGTAAGTTGAAGTTGTTTTCATTATTTTTGTGGGTTTGTATATTGATAAAACCTTTTTTGATGAGCAAATATTTTGGCAAATTAATATCATTTAAAGTACAGTTAAAATCCAGCAGGTTTCTATGAAATTGGGTTGCACTTTTATGCTCAATTCATTAAAAATTTCTTTCTTACAGCAAGATGTATTTGTGATTGAAGTAAGGCAGGAAGAAGGTAAGTGATGATTATTGTACAACTATCCTTTGTATCAAACATATTTTTTGTACGCCCACATTAATGTCTGTCCCTCCGTCAGGACGGCCACGTGTCCGGACAATTTTTGTAGACACAATAGAGTGCTGGTTTCTTGACGAATTTTGACGAAACGTGGTGTGAGTGTTTGTAACCACCAGAGGATGAACCCTATAGTTGTTGCCCTTGTTCTATAAGACACAATTCTTGACAGATTTAGATGAAATGTGGTAAAATTGCTAATTATTTCCCATTGAGGTACCCTATAGATATTAAAAAAAGAACTTAAAAGTATTTAATATGAGTTATTGCCATTGTTCTTGAAATCACATTCAAGGTGTAATTCACACCAGATTTAAAAAAACCTTATTAAAAAGCAAAAAATCAAAAGGTATTTAATATGGATTATTGCCCTTGTTCTTAAAAATGTGTTCAATCTTTATCTCGTAAAACTCCAGAAGACAATTCTGGACTGATTTAGAGAAAACTTGTTGAAAATCAAAAAAAAGTCTTTGAATAAATCTAGTACAGTATGAAAATGTTATCTTGAAATACTTGTATTTCATTTATTGATAGCTCTTGTCAATTGCCTGGATGACTTGGCCATCGCTATTTTATCTGAATGTTATTATAACATAACTCAACCCGTACAAAACCTGTGCTTCCTGTAATCTTGAATCTTGTAATCTTGTGTTCTTATTTCATGTTATACATTGCCTAAAATATAGTTGCCTCCCCTGGATTGGAACTTCATTCATGTTAACAAATTATTTCCAGTATTTTTGGGACAAGACATAGTTTGTGTCAATTAAGTAAAAACTAAAACCTGAATAAGATGATATAGACTTAAGAGTCTTAAGTTAAGACTTATCATTATAATTTATATAACCTATGATATCTGACAGTATCATACTAAATAGTTACTCCTAAGTATGTTTAAACCTTTGGATATTTGCTGATTTTTAATTGAATTTCTAACAAATTTCAAGCTATTGCCAAACATGAAATGAAACATAACAAAGACTGCTAACATGTGTGCAATATTTCCTCTTTTGTGTGTCTAGGTTATGGAGCGAGATGGAATGCAGATGGAAGTGGTTTCCGTGGATTTCTGGAGCCACAAATGGTTGATGGTCATGAAATTGGATGGAGACATTGATTTTATTTAATCTCACGTGGCCTGTGCAATGATTTCTTAGGAACATGTTTATCATTTTTGATTGGACATTGAATTATTCTTTTGTGTCCGACTGTTTAGGCACTGCTTAGGTAATGCACCTGACAGCTCAATAATGTTATAAGGTTATTGCTATAGATAATATATATCTTTTTTATTAAAATAGAACTCATATTCACATAATCTCCTTTTATTTGTTTTAAATCTTTTTAAAGGCCAAGGCTTGCCATTTTTGTGGGTTGATTTGAATATATAACAATAGATTTCAAAAGCACAAAAATCGCACTAGTCTCCAAAAGTCTCAAAAAAGAGGAGTCCTCTTTGACTTCTGGACACACATGGATTGGAAGGATAAGATTTCGATAGAGAGCTATTAGCATTATTACTGATTAGTTAGATTATTAATTCCTGTTTCTGAAACTAAGGTACGATTGGTCAAACGAATAGGTGAATCTGTTCCTTTAATGAGTCCATGGCATCAAGTTTGGCTTGAAAGACACATGATTGTACAAATTACAGCAATTTTAGCTAATCATATTTGCATATGGACAACTGCAAAAATTTGGAAAGAAAAGCTTGAATAAAGAAGAAAGGATTTATTTTAGGATATGAAACAAATTTGAAGAGAAGTTACCTCCCCATAATAAATAATATTTATATATACACAGTAAGATAAACAACAATATAAATACACCAGATATCAACAAAATAGATAAATATAGAATATTAGATCAATCTACTGCTCTTGTAATCTTACTGCTAACTGTTTGATCTTAAGAAGTCTGATTGGTCATTAAAAACAAATCAGAAAAAATCTAAATTCCCACAATTAAGACTAAATTAACAGTTACTTTCGATATTAAGATAGACTCTGAGGGAAAGGCTGTGGACAATTCAATGTTATAATATAACAGGGGAATGGATATTTCTTCATTATAGAAATGGACACATATTTATTAGACCATGCTTTCAGCTAGAAGCTATTCTCATCTTAAATTTAGATTACTGACAGTAATGAATGTTCTTGATCTGTAATGTAAATCATACTCCTTCTTGCAAATCAGGTCTGCTTGTCTTTGTAACTGTATCTAAAATACTTTTAGATTCATTTACACCAATTTCCTGTTTCTCTCAGCTCACAAGAATACTTGATTATGATGTCATTTGTCTCCAAAGTTATTTGAAATGGTGTTGTCATAAACTGGTCAAGTTATTCTACAACCAGAAAACAATGGAAATTCCGACAAAATATATGATGAAAACAGAAGCTATAAGTGTTGTTGAAAGACATGCAAAGGCTAAAATGCTTTTCATTCACAATGACATCTGAATTTCTTTTCAATGCCATAAAGAGTGATCCCATCACTGAAGTCAATCTTTTAATGATTTACAAAAAAGGCAAGAGAGAGCAAAAATGACTGGAATCCAGACAAAAGAAATTTAAAATAATGTATCTTATTTAAAGGAACATAAAAACAAATTATTTATATTAGGTCAATTCACATCTGATTTTCAATTATAAGCTAATATTGTTTCTATTAGATATGACTAGAATAAGTCTTGCAAACCACAAATTGTGTTAAACCTCAGTTGGTTATTTTTCATTTAATTTTGTATCATATACTTGACATTAACTTGACAGAATTGTCCTAAAAATACCATTATTACTGTTATTATACATGTAAATTGTATTGCACTAGAGAGTTTTACTATTGCACAATACCATAACATCGGTAATAACTCTAATATTGAAGTGTTATATTACATGATGAAATATAATACCACTATTCATGATAAATGTGCAATTTGAAAGGGAATATTAGATTGCTTGGTTGATGATTGTGCAATTTGTGCATTTACATTGAATCATGTTCAACATTGTCTATGTAATTCTATAGTGCAAGCAAGCTGTACAAAATCTATCCTTAAAATGAGTATTCCTTTAAAAAGTCTTTGTTAAATCATACCAATTACCATTTATAATTAAAATTTCACTACTGTTAATTAATCTAATCTATTTTAAAAATGAACTTGATAAATTCTAATGATTTTATTTTCAAGCCTAATTTAGAGTAAAAGGCCACAATATTTTGAGCATCATCGTTTTTCTAATACCATTTTGGTGAACATTTAAATCCTATAATGACTTTTTTCTCAGTAAAAGATAATATTATCATGTAATTATGGAGTAAAAAACAAGCATTTCTCTCATGTCCAAAGATAAATACCCAATTTGAGAATTCACAACCACTATTCAATGATTAATGTGTTATCCAAAATTTAAGTTACCTAAACATCCTTTTTCAATAACATTAAAAAATTTTGAGCTGAGAAGAAAAAATTCCTTTTACAGATTCTAGTAATAAATGTTTTCCTTGTATTTTATGGAAAACCATATAAAAACCACTAAAAATATACATATATTCCAAAAATGTATGGGAGAGATAATACCTAAGACAGTTCAGCTCATGGAAACCGGCAGTTTTCAGCTACTGAACAATCAAATCAGTAGTTGTTATTATGACAAATTTGTTCCAGTAAAGGGTAATGGGTCTGAATGAACTGATCAAGAATTGCTCTTCAATTAGTATCAAGACATATAACAATAAAATATTTTTCAATCATTATAAGTTGAGTTATAAATCATATTCAACTTCTCAAATGTTCTTTTTAGTAAATGTTATAATATATATTGTATTCAGTAAGAAAATTTTGCCTTTCCAAAAAGCTCTTTTTTTTTTATAGCATATCGCATCAAAGAAGACAAAATCAGATCCAAGTCAAAAATATCTGAGAAAATTTTTAAATAGTTAGAAATAAGTGAAAACCCTGTAGATAAGTATAAAACCAAACTAATCATATAACTTTATATCATTAAATAGTGTTTCTGATTATAGATATAACAAACAAACCTATTGGATAAACAATATCAATATGAGCTTTTAACAATCTACCTTGTTCAAACACTGTACATAACACAATAATTCTCATCACTGTAATATAAATAAAATTTGTGCAGTTTTAATCTACACAAAAAGTGACCAGAATATCATCAGTATATATCATAGTAAATGATAATCACATATACAGGTTCACATTTTTGGTAGGTTATTAAGAGCACAACAATTTGGTAATATGTATAAGGTCTCAACTCTTTTATATTTATAACCAACAGTTATATTTCAAAATGTATAAGTCAAATTGTTTCTTGCTTTTAACATGTATTTGATAACACATCATCTTTTAAAATGTAAGAAGTGGGAACATTGTATCATTTCTATCATTTGTCCTTTTTTTATCCAATAAAGTTTCATCAAAAATTTAATACAGCATATCCTTTCAGTTGCATTCTTTCTAATACCAGAGTACCCTTATTGTTCTATGCCTAGTCTAAAACATAAATTCTTAGATGCTGATTGTACACCTTAAACTATTTCTCACATAGTCAAGGCTGTTCATAATACAACTTTAAAAACCTATTGTTAAAAAAAATGTAACAAGGACAAAATATCACAAGAACATCTGAAAGTTACAGTCATTCACAGGCATAACTTCTAAATGTATGTTCTGTATAACTTGTCTATATTATGTTGCTTTCCACACAATTATCTCCAAATATATCAAAGGAAACATTCACTATAGACAACTATAAAAAATGAAAACGTTCTATTTCTAAAGGAACTGATCACATAAATTATTTGCACTGCAAAAAACACTCGCATTGCTGATACGACTTAAACACTAAACATCGTTTCTTGTTTTAAACCAACTAAAATCCATCGTCTGTATCTCATGAACTTTTCATTGATTCACACAAATTTGTGTCAAGTAAATAAGAACCTAAAGATACAATTCATCCAAACTGTCTCATAAAATAGGGTTGCAGTAAAATTTTATAACCACTTCACTGAAAATAGTTCTTTCATTACACATAAACACATTGGTAACATCACATCCCCTCAGATACAAATCTTCCATATGTAAAATATATCAACTATTTTTATGTCTGTATTGTAATCCACTCAAATCATTTATATCCCCTCAAATTGAATCTAAATAAACTCATTCAAACTGCTATATATAATTGGTGTAGTTACATCATGTTGCTGATGAAGGATGTATTTCTCCATTCAATATACTACCATGATAACTAGAACATGGGGAAATACGAACTTCAGGTATATCTAGACCAGGTTGAAGTTTCTGATTATCACTAACATTGTCAATTTGAATTGTAGGTGATCTGAAATACACAATCATGTAAAAACATCAATAAAACAGTTTACTATATTTAAAACTGAACAGAAATCAGAGAAAAGCCAGAGGCCTCAGTAGATTTTCTCTATGGTCAGCCAAATGTAAAATTTATAATTATCTATAATATTGTCTGACGAAATGAGATTAATATGCATTATATGTTGTAACGGAAACTGTCATTATGAGATCCATACAAGCAAACTACTTACGAAATATCTTCATCAATATAAGCTAAGGGCACTCTGTTTTCATGATCTTCCTCTGTGCGAGATGGTGTGTTACTATGACGACGCTGTGATGAACTAGCACCGTTGCCATGGTGATGGTGATGGTGATGATGATGGCGCTCTGATTCTTGGCTTACCAAAGCTGCCTAAAATAGTTAAAATATTCCAACATTGAACTTTAACATACCAAAAGTTACAACAGTCTACTAATGTTATGCAAAATATATTTTATATTCTGGCCGTGACTATAAGTATTTTTTCATGCTTAGCTTAGATTTTACTCAAATTTAAAGCAGCTATTACAGGTCCATCATTAATTGTATCGAAGACAAATATATCAATCTATTCCTTCTTGCATAGTCACATTAATCTTCAAATTTTACTTGTTCTTGATACAAGAGGCCTTATCAGTTGGGTATAAAACTAAGCTCAGCATGAGAAATGTTTTGTGTCTTGGTCTGAAACAAAATCATATTTGAGAATACAAAATTTCTTGCATATCTACCCATCCAATCTATAATTCATATGCTGAAGCCTAAGTTTATAAGTGGACATGAGTGCACCGCAATTAAAACAAAGCCAGCTGGAATATTCTCCTGTAGAAGTGTACACATTCTGTCGTGCAAAGCACTTAATAGGTAGCTAACAATTGCTTACTTCTTCAGTTGATAATACTATTGGAATAGCTTAGTCGATAGTGAGTTGGATTGTCAGATAAAGTGCCATAAGTTCTAATCCTTCTCAAGGCAAAAATAATTTTGATGTATATTCCAGATTGCCAGTGCTTCCAGAGGGTTGGCCCTGTGTCGGCTTTCACCCCTTGATACCTAACAAACTGTAAGACTGCAGAAGATCTGAGGATTGTATAACAATATGATTACTCAAATTAACTGTTTAATGGACCAGATTGTAGAAAACTCTAGACATACTTTGTCCAATAAGCTAGTTTGGTTCATGCAGAAATTAAATTACTTTGGCCTCTAACAGATAAAATTTCAAATGCTCCAGCCAGAAAATTAGTTTGTGCCTGACAAAATTCATTAAATATCCAATCATACAGAAATAAGATTTTTAAGTCGCTTCACTATCACTGATTAGGTTGAAAGAATGTTTTTAACATCAAACATGGTAGTTTTAGAAGTCCAAATCAATATGTCAATCTGACACTCACTTCAGCTCCAATAACTTGTCATTTGTCATTTTAACCAGTTCCCTAAAAACTGTAAATATTTTCCGTCTTCAATTGACATTCAATTAGTTTATTTCTTTCATTTGAAAATTGTGTAAGTGCTAACTTTCAGTAAGAGAATTTTTTTTTCCTGTAATGAGTTGAAATTGGTGGTGAAATTAGACTTGTTACAGTGTAATACTAAGATGATCCTGTCAATCCAACAACAGTCTTTTGTACACTTTAGTACAGCATCTCATTGCAAAAGACCCTTTTTTTAAAAAAAAACTCTATGATAAGCACAACATTTAACACTATGATCAGAACATGGAATCAAATTGTATGTTTATAGTGAGAATGTTACAATAGGTCTGATGAAAAGTCTAAAGGACATTATAGATGTCAAATATGAAACAAATGGTAGTCAAGTCACAGGTATCCCTAAGGGTATTTTCCAGCTAACCCCAAAATTTAAGCAGAAAGTTATATTTTGAAATAAGTATTATAATATAATATAATATAATATAATATAATATAATATAATATAATATAATATAATATAATATAATATAATATAATATAATATAATATAATATAATATAATAAAAGTATTATGTATCATTTCAAGACAAATTCAGTATAAAATGATTATGTCTCTGACGGTTATATTGAAGTTAGGTATTTAAGAGCACAAGTCACATTGGAAACATTCCAAATCCATCATGCTTCTATGATGATAATATAGAACGCTGCTGTTCATTTCATCTAGACAATGACAGTGAAACAAGCAGGAATATGATAGTTCACTCTTATTTCATGACAAATCTCCTAATTATCATCATATCAATGATCTTAAAACAATAGCCTACTGTTGTTTCATACTAATACCAAATCAATGAGAAACTAGCATTTTCAACCTCCTTATTGATTTTTTCTCCAAGATTTTCGATGCAACTTAATTGCCTTGTTATTTCCCATATCCATTATGTTTGTGAACTGGTAGCCCTCCTGGGCGTTGTAAAACTCTACTCTGCTATTTGAAATAGAATTGTGAAGTCAGCATGGTGAGAGAACCCCATTAACAAGGAATGTTTTATTTTTGATAATTTTAACCAACTAATTTAAATATTATCTCAATCATTCATTCATTTCAGTTTTCAGAATGCTTATAAAATGCTTTTTGTTTTTATCAAATAGTGAATTATAAAAAATAGCCAACATCACTTGTGACATAATCCATATCAAAGGTAAAATTCTTGGGCTATAAGTACTAAAATATCAAATGATGCCAATTACAGCTGGAGAAAAAAACTCTTTCTGTAGAGACCAAATGGTATAGTATTGACATAGACAACCTCAATGTTTCCTTCTAACAGCTATAAAAAAAAATTTCTGGTTGTTTAACATTCTGATACACGCGAGAATTATTTTGGCGTGCAATGGAATTGAAACTTGTGCATCTTTGAAATCCTCTTGGTAAACACATTATAGATCCATAAACATACAATGTAAGAGTTTTAAGTCTTACTATTCTGAACTTAATAGGGCTAACTGATTTGCATCACTGACAAGTGGTAACAGGGTAAAAAAATCTGAAGGTACTATTAAGGCCTATGCCAGGATTGAACCCTCCACCTTTAGGTTACAGGGCACACAGTAGCATCCACTGGCTACATCAGGCCAAGTATCAGAACTCAAGCAACCTCTTTGCAAACACCAACTGATCAGTGAAAAGTAAATATACAATTCGAGATACTTACATGATGAGAATTATTTTTACGTCTGCCATCATCACCTACTGCATAGCAACAATAATAAATACCTGCTGCTAATAAGGTACCTAATCCTAGTACACACAGAGATGGTCCAACTACTTTGTACATTCTATAAATACAAAAAATAATAATAATTTCAAGTGAATAAATTTTCATTCGATCAGCAAAAATTTTGAAACTGAAATCACAAAAACTTACCTGAAATGCTTCATAAGAAATATTAAGTAAATCATGTAATGTAATATATTTGAGCTCATAAAAATATATGGCTGTATTATATAACTATTCAATATAATATTGAACATCATTCTAAGATTATTTCATGAAAAAACACTTTTATGGAGGACATGAAATTATTGTACAATTTGTTCACCATTTTAGCTTGGTCAAAAAGAAAATAACCAATTGTGTCATTGTGTTGTTCATAATCTCATTTAGGATATGTAGAGATGTTAGAACTGTGCTTCATTTTGTACATATTCTTTAAGTAATTTGCAGTTTTATCCAATCGCTAATGTGCATAATAGAATTGATTTCATTGTATTTAGTGAGATAATGTACAGGCTGTAGTGCTTACTAAACTGGTGAATGCTAACTTTCTGCTAGAAACAATGAGGTCTTTTTATATTGTCTGTTTGGTTTTTTAGAGTGTGGTATGTTACAAGAAAAAAAAAGAAACCTTTACTTACACTCTTTCTGCCGGTTGTAATTCATTCTTGGCTGCTTTTTGTAATCCTATCACAGTGAGAGTTAATCCAGGTATAAACATTATAGCTCCAACAAATACCATCATCAATAATCTACTTAGAGAAAACGTATGAGGTCTATTGCTATTTAATCTGTGTGACCTCTGTCTACTGTTCCGCAGTAAATTCCCATGCAATCCAGGCCTCATTTTGAATTCTACGAATTAAATATACCTGTAGAAATATTTAGATTAGCGGTGCTGAATTATTAGACTACCATACCAAACCATTCCAGTTTGATATAAAGTTGAATCCCAAATTCTGGTCTATACAAAATTCATTCAAAATGAAGAAACACTACACCTTGACAGTTTCATTAATGAATCCACAGATCCAATTTCATACTTTGACAAAAGTTTTGTGAACTCAATTTGAATTTTGTATAAAAATTATTTCTCCGTCTTTGCTTTTGTAAATTTAATATTATCTATTGTCTGCACAAATAATTTCACAATACACTAGCGAAAAACACATTAACAATTATTAATGGATGTCTGATATTCTACTACATATAATGCCATACTCTGAGAAAAACAATTAATAGAACTTTATTAATGTCTCAGACACAATCTTATTGTTTCCATAAAAATAAGACTAGAAAAACAAGTCTATTAATTTTGCTTTACACCTTTTAAAACTTCGTTATTCCATTATTTTCATTGAAATGGGTTTTTCTTTAAATTGCTGGCAAATGATTTTTTAATTTAATTGATATTTGTCTGTCTAGTTTCCTAATTGTTCATCAACAATACTCTTTGTTTTGTCATAGTCAACACCGTACACACTAATGGATCAGGATGTACACAGTTGATTAATGGATCAGGACATACACAGTTGACTAATTAGTCAGGATGTACACAGTTGACTAATGGATCAGGTTGTACACAGTTGACTAATGGATGAGGATCAGTTGACTACTGGATCAGGATGTACACAGATGACTAATGGATTTGGATGTACACTGTTGACTAATGGATCAGGATCAGTTGACTAATGGATTTGGATGTACACTGTTGACTAATGGATCAGGATCAGTTGACAAATGGATCAAGAGTTATGACAGTTTAGGAAAATGCTCTAAACTTAATTTCTGTTACTCAAAGTCACCAAATTTACATAAAAAATCACATTAAAATTTCCAAATCATTTAAGTTTAATATTTCTGATTTCATAATTGAGCAAATGTTCAAAAAGCAGCAAATTTCTAAATTCTATTCATCTACAATCTAATAAGTTTATAGCGTAATATGTTCACATTTTCACTTTATTTCATGTCAGGATCATCAGGATACATATGTCACAAACAATATAAATAATCATGAATTCCCACATCCATTGTTCAATACATGCTTGAAACACTCAAGTATATAGGCATTTATAAAAATCCCACACACAACATTTCACAAAAAATATCACATAATAATGTTTAGAAATTAAAGAAATATTTTCCAATCCCAATCTCTTTTCACAGCAGGCCTCTTTTCTTCCTACTTCCAATCATTAAACTATTTTTAATTCTGTCTTTGAGTTGTTTGAAGCTTCTAATCTCTGAGTCTTGAACTATCTTCAATCAATCAGCTGGATATTGTCAACTTGTTAAGACTTGTTCATTCTGAAAGAACAATCAGATATAAGAGAATTACTAATTATATCTAAATGACAGTTATAAAGATATTTCTTCCACAGATACTGAAGTAAAATGTCATGTACTAAATTTATCAACATTCAAAACATCTTTATCCAATCTGCTGATGAGTCAAACAGAATTCTATTCTGTGAGTCCAAAAAGCTTTTGCCATAATCTAAAATAATTTTATTTCAAATAAACTGATTCAATTAATAAAAATTGCACCGATGTTTATTAGAGGAATCATTATTCTTAAACTTCCAGCCAAGAGTATCAGACAAAGATTGGCATTTTATGTTCTAAGGCTTCTGTTTTTGGAAACAATAAAAAACTTTGTAAAATGTTAAAGAGACTAATACATGCTATTTTCAAATTTCATGCTTCATGACATAGTGTTATTTTCAAACCCCAAGCAGTGTTATAGGGCTGCATAGAGATAAATTTGTTGCATGTAAGTGACAGTATGTTATTTATATAATATAAATGTGCTCAGACAGTAACCAGATGGATGTTCAACAGTTCAAGACCATCAAGGCTAAACAACAAGAAGCTTTTATACTTTATAGCAAAATCAGAATCCAATCTACATTATTCAAATAAAAATATTCAAAATGATGTTTCACAATATTTCTTAGAGTGTTGTTCAGAATTTGCACATGAAAATAGCTTATATATTAAATCCAAATATTCCATATACCAGGTATATAAACTGTAAAATCAAATATCAAAATAGTTATTTCTTGACATTCAATATTTTTATCTACCCCAGAACATTCAAGGATAGACTGTAAACACTTTTTTTTATGATAATTTTTTTTATCAACCTAAAGTAAATACCATGAAAAACATATTGACATTTTTAGTTATAATAGACATGACTGTCACTAGTTTTATATGTAGGCTGTCTAATGTGTCTATAATACAGTTTAATTAAGATCTGAGACAAACATGGTAATTACCAAAGGTTATTTATCAACATGGCTTAATTATCAGATACCTTTGGCATGACATTCAATGGTAATCTGGAAAAATAAACATGTTAAATGGAGGATAGGGCCCAAATTAATGTACTACCATACACCAGATGATAACACAAGCTTACGTTTTGCTTACCTCATCTGCTGAGATCTCATTTATCTACACAAACATACCCATTCTTCATACAAATCAGATGAAATCTTTATCAAGCCAATTTATAATGAATTTGGACTGGGTTTGAAAACATGTTGAGTTAAATTAATCCATCGAATGTTCTGCTTAACCCCTCCATTGAATGGTATTATACATTTTGAAGTTAATAAGTGAATAGCTGTTTACCAGGAATCATTAATTACAGGTAGTTCACAGGTGAACTATAACAAAAAATTAATTTTACCACTGTCCATACGTCCATTGAATCAACTTCATTCATTTTATTGCCAGCATTATAATCATGTCATGATTTTACTCTTAGAAATATTTCCTGAAACCTTGACAAATTCTCTTGGGGGAAAAACCAATATACAATTGTATTTTTTATCCATTCAGAACACAAAAGCTATTTATAGGACTTTATGGTAAATGAACCTGTTTCATATTACTAGTACCAACCCAGGACAATGATTTCAGTATATTTGACAATTGCCAGTCAATATATATTTATAAGTTATTTATGATACAGCCCTGACAAGATCCAGTGAGGATTCTATAAAATGCCATGATAAATGAAGGGTGAAGGGTTGAATAACAAGCTCTAAGAAGTTAACATTATGGTTAATGACATATCTTGATATCCTAATGCACATGACTTATTCTTCTTTTTCTCAATGTTAAAGCATTATACATCCTGATATGTTTTGTAACTTTCCCTCCAGATAACAAATCAAACAAGGAGCCACCGTGGCGGAGACATTTGCTCACTAACCTGATGGTCCAGAGTTCCCTCTCTGCATTGGTCAAGATAATACGTTCAACCATGTATCCCCTCGTCAGTGATGCAGTGATGGAGGGGCTTAAATAGAAGAGATCAGATAAAAACTGCACCCTGTATCATAACTACACGCAAAATTTAAAGCGTTTTTACTAAATCAAGGGCAATAACTCCAAAACCATTCATCCAATGATTATAATCCTAAATTCAAACTTGACCGTGATCTTATCAATATATACATGTATACCAAATTTCATCAAGATTGGATAAAAACTGTAGTTTATATCGTGCCTACAAGCCAAATTTGACATGTTTTTACTAAGTCAAGGGCAATAACCCTGAAATCATTCATCCAATTATTACCAATTTCAAACTTGACCAAAATCTCATCAATATATACATACATACTAAGTTTCATCAAGATGAGATCAAAATTGTAGCCTTTATCGTGCATACAAGGCAAATTTAATGCATCTTTACTGAGTCAAGGGCAATAACTCTGAAACCATCCATCCAATTAGTACCAATTTCAAACTTGACTGAGGTCTTATCAATATCTACAAGCATACAAAGTTTCATCAAGATAAAAAAAAATCTTAGCCTTTATCATGCATACAAGCAAAATTTAACGTGTTTTTATTAATACAAGGGCAATAACTCTGCAACCATTCATTACTAATTTCGAATTTTACCAAGATCTCATCAATACATAGCCTACATGCATACCAAGTTTAATCAAAATCAGATAAAAACTATAGTCTCTATCGTGCCTACAAGCCAAATTTGACGTGTTTTTACTAAGTCAAGGGCAATAACTCTGAAACCTTTCATCGGATTATTACTAATTTCACACTTTACCAGGATCTCATCAATACAGACATGCATACCAAGTTTCATGAAGATAGGATAAAAACTGTAGCCTCTATCCCGCCTACAAAGCAAATTTGAGGTATTTTTTCTAAGTCAAGGGCAATAACTCAGAAACAATTCATCCGATAATTACAAATTTCAAACTTGACTGAGATCTCAGCAATATATACATGCATACCAAGTTTCATTAAGATTTGATAAAAACTGTAGTATCTATTGTGGCTACAAGCCAAATTTGACACGTTTTTACTAAGTCAGGGGCAATAACTCTGAAGCCAGTCATCCAATTATTACCAATTTCGAACTTGACCGAGATCTCATCATTTTATACATGCATACTAAGTTTCATTAAGATTTGATAAAAACTGTAGCCTCTATCGCGCCCACAAGAAATGTGAACCGACGGACAGGGACGCCGGCAATATACGTCAACATTTCCATGTGGGCGTTAAAAAGGTGTCTAGTCATTAGGATGGGACAATAAACTGAGGTCCAGTGTGCTACAGCTGTGCACGTTTAACTTCCCTGGAAATAAAAAAAAAAGTAGGCTCATGCCAATCCTGGCAAAATTTCACCCATTGCCCATTTCATTAGCCCATAAGGTGCAGAAAAGTAGGAAGTTAAACTCCATTCATTTCATTTGTCATTACAAACACAACTAGCCGTTTGATAAAGAAGCATAGGAATGGTGTCAGTGACAGTATTTTCCCATTAACCTTACATCCTAGAAAGATAGTCTACATGACCTAATACTTCAACCAGAATGAGATTACATTAATTGGTGTCAAACTCTTCTACTATAGAAAACCAGAAATGGTTGTGTGGAGTAGTAATTTTTAAAAGATAATAAGGCAATTCTTGTAGTCACTGGAGAATCAAGTAAAAACTAGACGAGATTGGATTTTTTATTAACCAGTCTTAGTCAAGTTTGAATATTGAAGGCCACGTTAATGAGTCTAATAGAACTCTACCAATTAACCATTATTTTATTCTCACTACAAGGTCAACGAAAATAACTCATGAAAGTTCTTGAATGTCAAGAAATGTAATTATTTTACAAGCCATTGTATTATAATATACTGTATGACAACTGTTAGTGTAGATCTTTTAAACTTATTTGTTCCTGAAAATCTGCACTCATTCACAGCCATTATCAGGAATAGTTCTGAAAAATGACTGACTCAAGGTTATAATGTATTGACTGATGAGATGATATACATTCAATATCCTTTT